GAAAGAAAGTATTGAACATAAAAATATCTATAACAAAAAATTATTTCTTATCTTTTAAAAATAGATATGTAAGAAGCTCTTATTGTTCATATACAGTATCAGAAATGGTACTTACAAGAACTTGATGAGGAATTTCCTTCAAAATGGAATGAAACCTAGGTAAAATAATAAGAATAATCCAAAGGAGAGTAATTAAAATTTTTAATGAAGGGTTCATGGGAACACTGGTCGCATTCCATGTCATGCTCTTTCTGTGGAAGGCATTAAAGATGTGGTAGCATTTTTGGAGAACTATGCTGAAGACAATGTCATTTTACTACCTGGGAGGATACCTGGAGTGAGGGATTATAGGAAGGTCAAGCTATTGCTGTCCAGTGTGTCCCGACGCATCGTTTACCGGCAGTATGCTGATGCTGGTAGGGAACATACTCTCAGTGAAAGTTCCTTTAAAAGAATATGGAGAAAGTATGTTCCCCACATTTACAGCATCAAGCCAATGACGGACTTATTCTGGACGTGCAAGAAGAGCAGCACTGCAATTTTAAGGAATGCTGGGTGTGAGATTGAGCATCAGTCTGAGGTACATTTATTATTATTAACAATGTAATTATTCTTACCTGTAAAATGCTATCCCTTAGTGAGTAACTTTGTCTTTAGTTAACTTGTTATTTTCATATTACTTTCAAGAATCATGATACTACATGAACATACAGTACTATTCCTTCATGTGTTAGTAGTATCAAATGGTATTTAAAAGATGTTAATGTGTATTGTGTTATTATTAGTATAACTTACTTTAATAGTGTAGCATAGTGTCCTTTACTGTTATTCAGTTGTATTGCTTGATGTGTTAGTAGTATCTCATTGTATTTAAAAGATGTTAATGTGTATTGTGTTCTTATTATTAGTATAACTTACCTTAATAGTGTAGCATAGTGTCCTTTACTGTTATTCAGTTGTATTGCTTGATGTGTTAGGAGTATCTAATTGTATACAAGAAATGGTAATGAGTATTTTGTTCTTATTATAAGTATAACTTACCTTAATAGTGTAGCATTGTGTCCTTTACTGTTATTCAGTTGTATTGCTTGATGTGTTAGTAGTATCTAATTATATTTAAAAGATGTTAATGTGTATTGTGTTCTTATTATTAGTAAAACTTACCATGAGACCTTCTGAAGCTAGGTGGCCTGTCACGGTTTTCCGGCCATATGTTGGGCCAACCTATAACATAATGTTGTGATCCATAATAATTATTATAGGATAAACTAAAAACAATATTATTAATCAAAAAGATAGTCTTGCCCCGCCCCACCGCAAGTAGTAAAAGGGACGGGGCAAGACTGTCAAGAAGACCAATAATTAATTAGTTCAATCTATGCATGATACCTATAACTTTCTGTATGCAATTATCAGTAGAACAACAAATGACATAATGCATGACGCACTTTGATTTCAATAAAAACATATTTTAAGCATTCAACAGGGATGCACTTCATTCTCAGCCAAAACAGCTGTAAGATTATCAAAATCACTTCAGATGATAATATCAAAATAATTATCCGTACAGATAATATCAAAGTATATCTACTTAACTAATATACAAGTATATATAACCATAGATAATAGAGTAAATGAAAGGGATTGGAAATAGAAGAAAGGGTGTAGCCCAACCTCCATTTTTCTGTATTGCTGTGAGAAATAGAGTCTCCGCGTCCGATTCTGTCACTAGCTAGCTCTGTGAAGTCTATGAGTCTGACTGTGATCCGTTCCGACGAACTCAGGGGCTGAGCGATGAATCCAGCAGTTGATCGTTTAGTTAGCGCAGCTAAATGAATGGCTGAATCGCAAAGAGTTAACAAATTGTATAAAATCTTTCTTTTACAACCAATAGATCAAACAAAGATGGATGAAATGTAACGGACAAAATGATTTTTACAAAAATGGAAGTATTTATACACAGTTGTGACATCATAATCATAATAATAGTAAATTAACTCTGATTCACAATACCAATACCTCACACACTCTCCACCTGTTAAACAGACATATTTGTCCAACAAAAAAATAATGAATGAAAAATAAGGCTAACCAGCATATAGTACATTAGTGAGGGGAAGTGTAGAGAGAGAGAGAGAGCACAAATTAGTATGCATAAAAATAACTAAATAATAACTAAGTATGACCAATAACAACAAAAATAATAACAATACAAGAAATACCAATAAAACATATCATTAATATTTAATAAATTAATTAATAGTAACAAAGAAATAAATAAAAGTAAAATAATAATACCAACTAAATAAACAGAAAGAAAGAGAAGGAAACAAAATCAGAAAAAATAGAAATAATAATAATGATAATAATAACAATAATAATAATATTTTACCTCTATGATGCTTAAGTAGTATATTCAAGGAGTCTGGCTGCTATCTTGTCCCTGGCTTGAGTAGCAGCCTTGCAACGTGGTCGAGTACTTGGTTCTTCTATGGGATCACCATTATTGTTGTTGAGTGATGCATCAGTATCGTTTGAGACTGCAGTATCATCTTCAGCTTCAGTGGTCTGAATGTTACAAGGACTGGGAGTAGCATTATTAGACACAGACGATCTCACTTTCAGT